GAATCCATTTTGGGTGTGTTAGCGGTGTTGAACTACTTCAGTATAGTACAGATACATGAAAAATGTACTTAAGTACAGTAACAAAGTACTTATACTTCGTTACATCCCACCACTGGTTAGCGTCCCTTTATATTTTGTATCTCTGTGTTCCCTCGTGGTCTGGGCATTTTCCTGTCAAGCCTCATGTTCCTGTCTTTCAGAGTCAGAGTCAGTTTCTTTATTGTCATTCGCACCTCATGTGGTACATGTGGTGGAGCGAAATTATGTACACAAGGTCCCAGTTACATCCAACAATAAAATGTATAAGAAAAACAGTAATAACATCTAAGATATGAACTAAGAAAAACATCAACTAAATATACACTAAGCACTCCTCCGTGTCTCCAGCGTTTATGTAGGTTTACTGCCCCGTCAGCGTTTGTTTTGTTTAATTTATAAATTAATTACTACAAAGTATTTCATTCTCCGAGTCTCCGTGATCTGCCTGTATTTTGAGTTCTACCAGATCGCGGCAGAGGTGTTGTGCTAATAGTTTGCCAGGCAAAGCAGATGAGCCTGGTTCTGCTGGAGGTTTCTTCCTGTTAAAAGGGAGTTTTTCCTTTCCACTGTCTCCTTTGTGCTTGCTTAGGATGGGAGACTGGGACAAAGTGAAGATTCAACACAATCCACTGCCTTCCTTAGATACAGAACTTTACTAATTGGCTTTTTAAATGTATGTGAATGTTTTTGTACAGTTGCCTGAGATGCCTTCTCTTGTGACTTGGCGCTATATAAACAAACTGAATTTAATTTAATTAAAACACAGGGTTTCTTGTTTTGACTCCATGTTGTTTGGAAATAGCCTCATATTCTTTGCCAGATTGATGGACTGCAGCAGTTTCTTTCAGATCTTTACTGATGTTCTTTTTGGCTATAAAAGGGATTTGGCTTTTAAGGAAATATCATCATATGATCTGATCATTCTATTTGGCGATCAGTTAATCAAGTTCATTTAATTAGCAGCTGGCTGTTTTTCACACATTGTTTCAGTATTTTTTAAATTAGTATTTATAGCTATACCATGTAAAACTTTTGATTTAAATAGTTGGACTTACATTTAACCACAATTAAATCCTCTGGACATCTCCACAACAGTTCTTTGTAGCTGATGGCTTGTTTCAAAGTTTTTCAGTTAATAACTTTTTTTGTATATTTCATCATTATAACTTTGTTTACAAAGCACTTGTGAAAATGATTCTAGACGCAAGTTGTCTTTAATGTGTCAGTAAATGTTTTCTAGACACTAAAGTCCAAACAGATGCATGGCTTTTAAGAATAATATTAAACTCATACTACGAGATACTTCTGAAGAGCTTCAATAGCGATTTTGTTTTCTCTCTAACTGCATTTAAAAGTTTTCGTACTTGAATAATTTTGCCGTTTAAAGCAAGTGAGAAGTATCTGATTGTTAGTTTAGATCCATAACTTAGTAACATGTTTATTAGCTGACTCTATTTGGCTAATGTCAACATCTAAAATAATTTATTTATTTATTATTGTTCAGTAACCTTGAGGAAAAAAAGTTGAAGAAGTTGTTCAGTACAAGAAAACAACCAATGTGAGAACACTTAGCATTAGCATGAACATAGAAAATGCTCATATTGCTCTGGTTTAGTTGTGTTTTCTGGATTTTACTGTGTTTACAAGTTTATTATTGCACACATAAAGTTCAACAAATGAATAATCAGAATACAGTAGTCTTTTGTTTATCACGGGGGTTTGGGACTATGCCCACCCCCACCCCCACGATAAGTGAAAAACCGCAAAGTAGGGTTACAGTAATTCGAGTTCAAGTAAACTTTATTGCCATTTCCATATCATGTACCACATGAGATGGAACAAAATTATGTACACAAGTAGTAGTAATAGTAGTAAGTAGTAGTTTTTTTAGTATTTATATACAGGTATATATTAAGATGTTTTAAACCCTTCCCACACTCTTGTAATGTCCCTAATAAATTTGTAAACTCTAAATGCTCTAAAAGAGCACAGAAGGTCATGATCTCTGCTCTCTCTGCCTCTGGCTGCTCTCTGCCAGTGCTCTCGGCCACGCCCACTTCTCCGCTGCAGAGCAGAGATCTGACATGTTGCAGGAGGAAGCTTCTCCTGTAACTGAGGGCTGCACACAGAGGAAAAACAACTTTTTACACAAAGGCACCGGTTTCAACCATGAATTTTGGAGCTTCAACAAGACAGAGGTTTTTTCCCGAGGTCGGCCTATTAGCTTAGCTCGTAGCTTAGCTTCTCAGCTTAGCTGCTTTTAACAATCAAAAAATGTGATTTTGGACGGTTAAAATTGATTTTAAAGAGAAAAGAGTAAAAAGAGAAAGGGAGGGTTCGGTGAAGAGCACTGGAGTTGAGCCTTTTGTCATCCAGTGTCTTCAGTAGAAATAGAGACACAAAGAAACAATAAAGCCGATAAATTTAAAACGAGGTAGATAATTTTCATTTATCATGCGATTAGTTGATTTATTGTTTATTGCAACAATCAATCAATCAATCAATCAATCAATCAACTTTATTTATATAGCACATTTTAAAAACCACAAGGGTTGCCAAAGTGCTGCACAATAAAACAATAAAAACAAACAAAACAATAAAAACAAACAAAGCATACACAAAGAAACATAAAAACCATTCACATACCAGTTTCACAGCAGGTGTATTAAAAAGCCATAAAAGATAAGATCACGTGTTAAAAGCCAAAGAATAAAAGTGTGTCTTTAAAAGCGATTTAAAAACAGGAAGAGAGGAGGCCTGTCTGACACTCAAGGGTAAAGTGTTCCTCAACCTGGGAGCAACAACAGCAACAGGCCTTACTATAACTACTATTGTTTGTAGTACAATTTAAATACAAGAAAATCTATTTTCTTTGCTCCACCCTGCACTATTACCAAATCCAAGCTAATCCACAAGAATATTTGCTATATCTATCACCATTTGCGACTAATACACTTTTACTTTCTAAAATATATTAATCAGCATTTAAAGCTCAGAGGCACTAGTGGTAAACTTGTTTCTTCCAAATAAAACTGTTTATTTGTTTCAAAATTATTGGATCCTTTAGTAACATTTAAACGCTGTGCTCTGCCACAAATCATTATTAAAAGCCTGTTATTACTGTTATAATAGTTCTTCTAGGATGACAGCAGAATTCCTTAGAATGAAACATACAGTAGATAAATTAGAGCAGGGGTCAACAGCGGGTACCTGGTCGCCTGCAGGGACCACGTGAGTCGCCCGGGGGGCATGTTTTTAAAACCATACCATTTACCATACTGTAGCAAATCGGTGAAACTGTTCAGCGATTTGTAGACATACAGGAGTATTTTGAACTGGATTCATAGGTAAACTGGTAGCCAGGCCAAAACTGGTGTAATGTGCTCTCTTTTGCCTGTACTGGTTAAAAATCAGGCTGCTGCATTCTTGACCAGTTGTAGTCGTGCAATGGAGGTCTGACTGATACCAAACAGGAGCGAATTGCAGTAATCAAGCCTAGATGTAATGAATGTGTGTATTACTGTCTCCAGGTTATCTTTGGACAATATGGGCTTCAGTTTAGACAGCTGCCTCAACTGGAAAAAACAGGATTTAACGATCGTGTTTACCTGACTGTTAAGCTTCATGAAAGGATCCATTATCACTCCCAGATTTGTGACTTGTGAAAACAGCACTCGTCATCAAGGAGCACCCCCTGAAAATCACCATTAATTAAATGTTTTTAAAATCAAGCAACATTTCCATGGATGTAGATTTGAACTGAAAATACCAAAAAAATTTCTAAGCTTAGCAACCTTATCAAGGGGTCAAAGCTCAGAATCATGTGCACCACGATGTCTGTGAGTGGTGCATCTACAAGCTCTTTTTATCTCCCAGAGTAGAGGGGAAAATGGGAGGAAGACCCCGGGGACACCCTGGACAGGTCTCCAGTCCATCACAGAGACACAGACAAAGAGACAACCAAACATGCACTCTCCCAGTCAGAGACACACAGAAGAGTCCCAACAGGACTCAAACTGAGAACCAGAGTTCTTGATTGAGAGTTCTAATTATTAATAATGATTTACCATATCCACCATGGAAAATCATTATTGATCCTTATTCTGAGGAGTCCTTACCATTAAGATATGATCAGGCAGTCATGCATTCACATGTATGTAAAGTTATTATTATTAATATTATAATTAAAGGCAAGCCATTTAAATATGTTTGCATCAAACAAGCAGCGCTTCGTGTCTCTCGCTCCCACTGAAGTAGCTCTCTGTCTCAAAAAGGTTGGTTCAAGTATCTTTATTGTCATTCGTATCACATGTAGTACATGAGGTGGAACAAAATGGTGTACTCATGGTTCCAGTTACACCCCAAAATAGAAAAATATAAAGTATAAAAAGAAACAGTATACAAGGATCTAAGATATAATAGTTATATAAGATATAAGATAGTCCTTTGGTTGGCCTTTTTGCTGTTTTAAGTGCTTTATAAATAAAGTTGTATGGAATGGTAAGATATACACTGATATACGCTAAACAATACACTAAAAGATTTAAGATATACACTAAACACTAATAATGTAAAATAATACAGTATATTAAACAGCAGCCCACCCATGAGTCTGTGGTGACCCCTGAATTAAAGTATTTCATGTGTATTAGTCTCCAGCACTGAAGGCCGGTCTTTTTCCTTCCTAACTTCAGCTTACCTTTCACTGCAGAGCCAACGAGGGACAGCCAAGACTAATTCATTTACTATTAGGAGTTGACAAATCAATACTATAAATCTATAAATATTTTTGTACATTCTTAAAGTTACAACGGCTGCAGGACAGTGGTGATAAGCTGTTTCTTGTTGTAACAGAACGGTGGTGCCTGTTGGACCACACTCGGCCTTGTTGATGAAGAGTGGTTGTTGAAGAAGCAAACACGGTGCCAGTAACCGTATGCCCCCTGTCTTCTCTCCCGTAGAGCTCAGAGGCCGTTGTCCAATGGCTGAGCGAGTTTCAGCTTCAGGTCTACGCTCCAAACTTCCTGGGTGCAGGGTATAACTTACCCACCATTAGCCGAATGACTCCGGAGGTAAGGCAACTGAACCCTGAACCCCAGAGAGTTTACCCCCTTGCCTCCAAGGACCACGATGTAAACAAGTCTGCTGGACTTTGGTTTGTGCTGTCCTTGATGTTTCCAAGCTGCATGCGAATCATTTCCCTTAAAAAACATTTAAAACAATTAAACAAAGTGACCTCAGCTGCCCTTTCCCTTCACCCTGTCAAACCTACTGTGCTTTAGTTTTTGACCTTTCACCCCTAATGTAGCATTACGCTGCTACGCTCTGACCACAGAAATGTTTCCACCACACTACCTGATTTGAACATTAAAATTCACTCAGATATTTGTGTTCACCTGTTTGTTGTTTTATGTGAATTAATTTGATTAAGAATAAAAATCCAACAACATATCCATGCACAGCACCTCTAAGGAAGCCTCCTGCTGGCCTTGGATCAAAATGATCCACTAGGTTTCACGTTTAAACTAAGCCATGTGGGTCATTTTGACCCAAGGGCAGCAGGAGGGTGACATACTTTTTTCACCAAACATTTTGGGCATACATATAGAAAATGTGTTCTGTTGAATTACAAAAGAAAACAATAAAATGAGATTAGTTCTAGTTTAAACTACAAAGTTAATAAATTATGTTTTCCAACTTGTGAATATTCTACTTTGCCCCAGTTGAGCCATCGACACTGAAACACACTGAAAACATGAATCTGTCATCACACAGCAGGAAGAGAAACAAATCGACCTCCTGACTCCTCCATCACCTCCAGCACTCCTCCTCCTGCTGCCTCCGTCTCACCAACTAGACTGAAGTGCTGCTCCGCTCACACCATAGAAATCATTTGCACCGTACATGCACGCAGAAGAGTCCGAGCCTGCACTGACTAAAGACGACTCCTTATAAAAACACACCCGTAAACTTGTTTGTGTACTTGTACACATAAGTTATGTAACCAGTTGTGCATGTGTGTGTTCTTATGTGTCTACGACACTATTTGTGAGTTCTACACACGTAATACTAACACAAAACACACTTTTTATTAATACAATCATAAACATATTGTCTGCTCTTGAACTCTTTGTTAAATGACAGGTTTAGTTATTAGAAAATTAAGATTAAATGTAAAAGATTTTTAAGAAGAATCAACCTAACAATTGTTTAGATGCTTCCTCTCGTTACAGACGTTTGCTTCTGTTTCCTTTTGCTTTTCTTTTGATTTTGAGACATTTGCATCTTTTTTCTCCTCGACTGGCAGAAGCTTTCATCAAGTGTCATGTTGTCTTTTGTGTTGCAAGTTTTCACTCTGGGTGTGTGTGTCTGGGTGTGAATGTGTGAGTGGCCGACACAGACACACTGCTGGGCGCTAGGGCAGATTCTGCTGCACTTGTGGAAGAAAATCCCACCACGGTGTCCTTCTAAGATGTGTGTTTGCTTGTGTGTAGGATCTGACAGCAATTGGAATAACTAAACCAGGCCACAGAAAGAAGATGACATCAGAGATTAACAAGCTTAGTGTCACGGAGTGGCTTCCTGAGCAGAAACCTGTGAGTTAAACACACACACACACACAGAAGTTGTTATTAGGGAAACACTGTGGCAAAAGTTAAAAAATAAATAAAATCCATCAACCATTATTGGAGAAATATTTGGCTTTTTTTTTTTCGTTCACCTCAGGTAAACTGAGTTTTCATGTGTTGATGTAGATTTATACCGTTGAGCTTTCAATGTCTGCTTTGCGGTGCTTAATTTGAGCCGAATCCTGCCGGAACAGGATCCGGGACCGCTCTTATTTTGACAGGGTGCGTTCCGGTAACTGTTTGCTTGGATCTGGTAACTCTCAGGCGTAATGATAATAAAGTTATGAACGAATATGATCGCCTTGAATGAATAAAACCTACGTATATTGGATATGTAATCTGAAAATAATTACATAAACACTCATTTTAAACATAACAAGCTTCCTAATATCACATCGGAGCTGTTCCTTCACATTTCCATTTCTGCTCTTTAAAAAAATCTCCACTCCTAAAAGTTCAAAGTCATGGACAATTTGATTAAAAAAATAAATATATATAAACATTTTGCACTATGCATAAGCTCTTGTGCTTTGTGAACAATGTGATGTGTGAATCGCTGCAGGAGTTATCTGAACTGCAGAAAAGAGACGATGAGCTCGCCTCATAAAGCTGTTTGTCTGCAGCGATGTCGGAGCGACCAGGACGCTTCTCTGAACTGAGCAAGAGGATTGAGAGCAACTCTTTTCTAAGCCACTGATAAAGCGCTAAATATTAAGCAGTTTTTTCCAAGTGTGGCCAAAAACTTAGAGCAGTGCTTCTTGTCCCAGGGTGGGCGCCCTATGATCATTTTACTGAGGAGCTGCAGGTGCTTATCCACAGTGTGGCCTGAGGACGCAGGTGTACTCTGTGGACAGACTGAGGTCGAGTCGCTCTGTCTGTGCTTCAACAGACTGTCCCCACCTTAGATTCACCAAAATATGGAATAAATATTGAATAAATAGGGAATAAATGACGACAGTCTTAAACAGGCCAGTAAAATCTATGATTTTTTTTTGCTGTAGTTGGATCCTCAACCCACCTGTCAATCAGTCCAGTAGGCACGTCAGCAACTGACCAATCAGCAACCTCAATTTGTCCTGAAGTGAACGCCCCTTACCTGCAGAGCTGCAGCGGTGTTGCATTATGAACGCTCTGCAGTCACAGATGTTAATAATAACAGAGTTTACATCGTTTGTTTCATGTTAATCTACTGTAATAAACATTTGTAAAATACACCAGAATGCAGGAAATGACATCTACATTATTTAATATTCTCTTGGGGAGGACCCCCAGACCCCCCCCCCCCCCACCCCCCCCCCCCCTTGCATTCCGGCATTGTTTGATTTACAAATTAAGTCCTGTTGCTTTGGTAATGACGAAGTCTGTCAACTTGGATTTTGAGCTAAGCAATGGTTGCCCACAATAAGAGGCAGGAAACAACCACTGTGTCTCTGAAATGTCAGTTTAGAACATGACGCAACATGTAGTGTATAAATGTTTTAAAGATTACATCACACGTCTCCGTTGGACTGCTAGCATAAGTTATTAATATGCTTTAAGTACTAACTCCCAATTTTCCAGTTAACCCAAGGCTGTTCCAATGACCATAGTACTGGTAGGGATTTACATACGTAGATACAGAGAAATAGTAAACATTGAGACGCTCTATTTCTTTTACTTGGATCTTTTGGACGACGGTTAAATGATAAATTGTTTAAGAACATTCAGAATATTGTACAAGTACACAGCAAGTCATTATGGGGTTCAAAGGCTCCATTGGCCACCCCCTGGCTTTAGCATTGCACCTGGTGGTGGATTCAATTGCTCCCTCGGCTCACCAGGATCCATCCCTCTGCGCCGCCTCGGACAAGCCAAAAAAAAAATACCTCTGTTCTTCTACCCAGTGTAACTTCTACTCACTTAAATATCTAAGAAAAATACTCAAACACTCAAAAACAACAAACACTCGTTTAAATCCCTCACCGATGAAGGTTACTGGCATACTGCTTGTAGTGGTTTTCTTAGTCTTTTATTATTATTTATTTGTATTTTTTGCAAGACATGAGACACAAAACATGTAAATGTACACTTCTACCCTGCCGATCTGTCATGGTTTGCCACTGCTGAACTTTGTGAACAGACATTTTTCATTCTGGTGTTCCTATAGAACAGCCTCGGAGAGTGGTTGTCTGCTATTGGTCTAAGCCAGTACCATCAAGTGTTGGTGCAGAACGGCTACGAAAACATCGATTTTATCACCGACATCACCTGGGAAGACCTACAGGAAATCGGCATCACCAAACTTGGTAAAATATAAATGTATTTGTTCAGTGATGCATTCTGACATTATGGCAAATATTGTTGCTATGCATTCTGGGTAGCGGGAGATGTCAGTGTATCTTGATCAGTTAAGCTAAACTCCAATTTTCCTCTGTTGAAGGTCACCAGAAGAAGCTGATGCTGGCAGTGAAGAGGCTGGCTGAAATGCAACGCAGTACTGATGGGCGGAGCTCCCTCAGAAAGAGGCCACCACCAATTACACAGCAACAGGAAGTCATGTCAACGGACAGCCCACCCCCAGATGGTGAGTTATTGAAAACTTCTAATAAGCTTCAACTGCTAATGTAATGAGATGTCCTAGTATCAAACACTCTCATGCAGCTCCTGAGCAAAACATATTAGTGGCATGTACATTAATTTACAGAAGATTTTTACAAATTGAGTTACATTTTCTGTGGAAAAATAAATCTGATATATGTTGCTTAATATTTAATTTATTGTTGACTTTTACAAGAGATCCTTCCTGTCTACAGCCATCAGTATCTATAACATCTCTTAATGAAATGAGGATAACGAGTTACTACAACAAATAATTTCCCTTTGGGATTAATAAAGTATTTTTGAATTGAATTGGCGGGCAGCACGGTGGCGCAACTGGTAGAGCTGCTGCCTCTCAGCAAGCAGGTCCCTGGTTCAAACCCCGGTCCAGGGGCCATTCTGGGTGGAGTTTGCATGTTCTCTCTGTGCATGCGTGAGTTTTCTCCGGGTACTCCGGTTTCCTCCCACAGACCAAAAACATGCATGTTAGGCTGATTGGTAACTCTAAATTGTCTCTAGGTGTGAGTGAGAGAGTGAATGGTTGTTTGTCTCGTTTGTCTCTATGTGTCCCTGTGATGGACTGGAGACGTGTCCAGGGTGTACCCCGCCCCTCGCACAGTGATTGCTGGACATGGGCACCAGCGACCCCCGTGACCCAAAATGGAATAAACGGGTAAAGATAATGGATGGATGGATGAATTGAATTGAATTGAATTGAATTGAATTGAATTGAATTGAATTGAATAACCAGCTGAATGTGTCCACAGTGCAGAAAATCAGACACCCCAAATGAAACTCTGTTGGACGTTCGAATCTGCTTGATGAACGCGGGTCATTGAACAGTACTGTCCCATTATGGTAAATAAGTAAAAAACTGAGGATGAATCACTAAAAATAATTTTAAATTTCGCTTAAAATTGTCTAAATAGTTGAAAAAACACAGAACGGACCAATACACAGCAAGCTCAGTAAATAAATAATTTACATTATTTATTAAGAGGAACTACTTAGTGGGGCGTATGATTTCCTTTCCGTCCCACCTGTCTCTACGGACCGGCCACCACTACCTAGAGCTTTAATTACAAAGTTAGGGAATTATTAAATGATAAAGCTCTGTACATGTTGTATAACACAATCATTGTTCCACATTTAATCTATTGCATTGATGTTTGGGGGAAAGCATGTAAAACATTTACAAAACCTATTTTTATTTTACAGAAAAGAGCTGTAAGAATTATCATCAGAAAGCATTACAGTCACCCATCAAGCACATTATTTTATCAACTGAAGTTATTGAAGTTCCATGATTTGGTAGATTACAGTATTTTATCAGTTATGTATAGGGCTCAAAATAACACATTACCATTAAATATCCAAAGAAATTTTGTTAAAAGACAAAGTTGTTATAATCTTAAGGGGATAGAGATATTTGTCAAACCAAAATTCAGAACTAGTCTGAAGGGAAGGTCTACCTCAATCCAAGGAGTTGGATTGTGGAATGGTCTAGAGAGTGATGTGAAAAATGCCAAGTCAATGTGTACATTTAAGAAAAAGATCAAAGCTGAATTGTTAAAAAATATGTATGAAGTAGCTTAGTGTGTGTTTTGTATTAGAATTAGATAAATTAGAAAGAGTTATTCATTTTGTACTGTTACTTGAAGATTATTATGATTGAACTAATTGTTTGAAAAAAGGGGCAGATATAATAAGATTTTTTCTTCTTTCTGCTGCTTTGATGGATGAGCTTCTTTCATTTTAAATTTCTTGTATTTTTTTCAGTTTCTGGATTTTTTTTTTTTTTTTTTTTTAATGAATAAACTTTTTTCATACGAAATTTTTTTCTGTTAGCCTGTGTGACTTTGATCCTTAGTTTCTTTCTCATGTGGAATTCCTCAGGGTTCAATGCTTGAGTCAGTAGCTTTTCCCTTTATATGCTTCTTTAACTTTCTGCTAAGAAACTGTCCTATCTCATTTCAAAGTTATGCAGGTGACACTTTGATTATTATTATTATTCTTTAATAAAAAAAGATAATATTGAAGTTTTAATCTTTGGACCTGTTAGTGTCTGTAGTTCCTCTTATATGAATTTTAGTAAGCTGAATCTTTTTTTGTGCGAATGCATTAAAAATACATGAATATATTTTGAACTCAGGCTTTTTGGAAGGCTTCACTACTTTTTTAAGGCTTTGAAATCATACAATACAATACAATACAATACAATATAACTTTATTTATAAAGCAATATAAAAACAGCACTGTTGGCCAAAGTGCTAGCTTAGAATCATGACTTAAAATTTCCCAACAAGGCTACTGCTATGTTCTGTATGTTACTGTTAGCCTGGACTTCCTCTCATAGCTACAGTTGGTCCAAAAACTGCAGCTCATTATTTACTGGGAGATATTAGGAGGTATTGGTAGATTGTGTTTAAGAACTGATTTTAAACGATAATTGGTTTGGTTTTAATTTTATTTCCATCTCTTCCTCAGTTTATTGACTATGGGTTTTTAAGGCCAAATTAGAATAGATTTTTGTCATTGTTATAGTTTTTGTTTAGTTATATTGAGATTAGGAATCAGCCTTTTTGTCTTGTTTTATTTTTTCTAATTTAATTTACAGCACATTGATAAGAAGCAGTATAAACTTATAAAGATAACTTTTAGTCTCAAAATATATATTTTTCTTTTTTCAGAGGTCATGTCTCCAAAGATGAGCACCTTCCAAGACAGTGAGTTGAGCACTGAACTTCAAAGTGCCATGACCCAGTCAGGTCAGGAGGTCAAAGCTCAGCGAAGTCGAACCCTGAGCAGAGACTATGACGAGGCGATGACAGGAGGTGGTGGACCGCCAAAGAAGGAGGCACGGACTGTGAGGCAGCAGAGCAGCCAAGGAAGCACCTCATCCCACAGAGGCAGTGTATCCTCACAAGGCAAACACCGTCACTCCCACTCCCAGCCTGCACCCCCCTACACACCACCTCACACACCTACCAAGACCAGGACTTCATCTTCCTCCTCCACCTCCTCCGTTCAGAGCACAGCCTCCCCTCAGGCTAAGCCCAGGTCGTCTCCTCAACTAGTTCAGGGAGAGCAACCTCCGTCGTCCCACTCACATCCTTCTCAGTCTCCAACACAGCGTGGAGCTCCATGTCAGCTGCCCCAGCAGCAGCAGCATCAACCTCAAGTCCAGCCGCAGCATCAGGCGCACCCTCAGCACCACCCACAGACGCAGGTAATGGAGGTCAGGGAGAACCAGCAGCAGGTTCCACACCTCTGTCTGCCTCCTGAGGCTGAATTGGCTGAGGCAGAGGGAGCAGACCCTTCGTCTCTCAAGAAGAAACGTGCCCACAGCCTCAATCGACACACCATCTCAGATGGGGAGTGTGATGAAAGGGCAGGTGGAGGAGGTGGAGGGGGAGAAGTTGAAGTAGAAAGTGAAGCCAAGATAGCAGTAGGTCCACCTTCCACCATTGTGAGACCAGAAGGAGGCAAGTATGCCACAGTGGCTGCCCGTGTGAGCCGAAGCCACTCTGTCCGCAACCAGGAGAAGACCACCAGCCGCAGCCACACCCAGTCCCTTGCTCTGCGTCAGAAGAAAAAAGGTCCCCCACCACCACCACCCAAGCGCTCCAGCTCTGCCATCTCCAGCTCCAATTCCAACCTGGCAGAGGCCAACACACAGCAGCAGATGCTCACCATCACTGGGGGCATGCTAGATGTGCCTTACCACCAACAGAGGCGGGCTAGTGACCTGGGGGTGTCCGTGGAGGCAGCTGCTGTGGAGACAAACAGCTTGGGCAATGTGAGAAGCATTGCCGCCATGTTAGAGATGTCCTCTATAGGGGGTGGAGCCAAAGCCATAGCGCAACAGAAGAATTTCCTGCAGGTACTGTTTATACATCTACATAACTTCTGTAAAGTAGTTCAGTGGTAAAGTTGTTGGATAAGATAAATATTTAAAAAACATTTCTGTGTTCCGTAGGTGGGAAAATCCCGTGATGCCATTGGTTTAGATGGAGAGGTGGTGAACCGACGGAGGACCATCAGTGGCCCTCTAACCGAGCTGGTGGAGGCAGCTAGGCATGACCAGCCGGACTTAACCCCATTGTCCAACCAGCTCGAGTCCTCTCCTCCCCTTGTAAACTCCCCTTCACCACACCCACCGTCCTCCCCCCTGCCCAACTCAGGAGGCAGTGGCAGCTCATCAGAGAACCTACCGTTTGCAGATGAAGGAAGTCTTACCATCCGTCGTCAGGGTCGAGGAGAAGGACAAGGACAGGTAACTATCTATATATATGTATATGAATGTTTGTCCATATATCTGTCTATCGATCTAATATAGTCTGCAGTTGAAGTCAAATGTTTTCATTCACTTATCATGAGCCAGTTGTCATTTTAACTTGGAGCTTTTAATGATTAATTTTCAGAGTGGAATGATTTTGCAACATACAACTTCATTATGTTTTAGACTGGGTGCACACATTTGAATTTATTGTCGATTTTCTCTCACCCACACATGGACAAAATTATGGATGCTCAAATATATACATATATAACCCACTAATATTTCGTGAAATGTAAGCAAGTTGAACCTGGACCACAAGATTTTTGTGTTCATCAACAAACTTCTGGTGTAAATAATTCAGTCTGGGTTTTTTTTTTTTTTTTTGACAAACTGGCTTTTTGGCTAAATTAATTGGGTTCATATGAATTGGTTGTTTCCTGGAATAAAGGCAGACTTTTAAGTAACTTGCCTAGCTGCAAAGGCCATTCCAAAAGCTTCATTTCAGCCCGTGTTATTCAATCTGAAAAAAGTTGTGTGTATTTAGTAGAACCCGATCGAGATAGAAATGATGTCTATCGCCAATACCGATATTGGGAGGGGAAGGTGACCGCTGACAACCGATATAATGATTGAACAATTTTTAGCTTTGTCCACCATCAAGAATCTAAAAAACAGCGAGTGGAGCGGGGCTTGTTTATTTAGCGCAGCTGTTAGCAACCATGAAGCTAAGCTAATCAGATCCATGCTATACCTAGTCCCAAAGTAGGTTTACAAGTGGCGCACTGGTCATAAAAACAGTCTTCCTAACATGTGTTCACATTTTCTATCCTCCACTTTTCACCATAAAGTTATCAAGTGTGTTACATAAATATAAATTAAACAAAGAAACACCCTTCCCTGTTCATTGTTCCCACAGTCATGTATGGTGAAGGTCTAATTAGTATTGACCTTAGTATTGAGTTTATTTTTTCAACAGAGAAGTAAAAAACAATGCATTTCATTGAGAATGACAAAGATAATGTTACTAATACTGATATATATATTTACTGCTACGTTAGATTTACTGTTCTGGATCAAGTTTTACAAGACAATAGCCTATGTTAGGTTATCTAAATGTTAGAATGCTAAGTTGAGAGGCATGTAGCTAATAACACTAAGGTTGGAGGACTGAAGATAATTTATTATTGTTGATTTGTTTTACAGATCAGTTAAAATAAACTTACCATGTTCTGTATTGCTCCCTGCTTCGGCTGTTCTGAACATGAAAGTGAAACTTAAGTGAACAGCCATGATTTGAAAGTAGTCTTCATGCACCATCTGCTGGATACATTATACAATTACAGCTGGTTCCAGCATTTTAGGGGTGAAAATTAGAAGTGCTTATATTGGTGCATAATGGGACAATTATCATCGATACCGATAGAACCCCAAACAACTATATCCATCTGAATTATCGGCCCTATCAATATATCGGTTGGGCTCTAGTATTTAGGATCACTGTCCTGCTGCAGCACCCAAATGTGTCCAAGTTTCAGCCATCTAGCTATTGATAGACAAGATGTGAAAGATATTTTTTTGTAATACCCTCATGTTTCTCCCCCTTTTGCTATCTAAGATTATTATTCTGAAAAAGGATAAGAGAGGCCGTGCTTACAGCAGCAGCTTTGTGCACTCTGTCCATCTTACGGACGACTGCATGTACATGTTCTCGTTGTATCTCGGTGCAATGATAATAAAGCTTATTCTGATTCTGATTTGAGGTGAATTTGAGGAATTTGGAGGTAGTCCTCCTTCTTTATTATTGCATCCATTTTATTCCATACACCAGTGCGCATGATGTCACCACCATTGTGCTTGACAGTTTCTTTAGTGTTCTTTTAATTTGAAAGTTTCACCTTGACACCTTCAAACTTACTTCTTGAACATTGACACCGGTGATCCAGCAGTTTCCATTCTATGGCAGGCTTGAGCCTTGGTGGTTCCTGGATTATACCAGAACAACCTAACTAATGTTCTGTAACTTTTATCATTATTATTATTATTAAACTTAACTTTTATTTAACCAGGCAAATCCTAAGATCACAGATCTCTTTTGCAAGGGAAGCCTGAAGGCAGCCCAACATTCATGTTTTTGGATTTTCTGTAACTTGTGCATTAAAGTTGTATGCTGTATGACCATTCCACCATGGAAAAATACAGATTTAATAAAGCATTAAAAGCCCCAAATTAATTACATTTTTGGACATGATGAATGTTCTGTAAACTCTTGACCACAGCCGTACCTTATATCTGTGTATGCAATGTGCTAACGTTAAATGTGCTTTAATGTATTGTGAAGCTTTTGCAATATTAAGCTTTTTTTGTTGTTTCCATTTATCTATGTCACTGTTCTGACTGTTTGTGCAACAATGACCTCTTATCATGAATGTATGAACTTTCCGTTAGTGTGTATTTTGTGTCTGTCTGCAGGGTGACGGCGAGCCTCCCCAGGGAGACAGCAGTTATACCCAGGAGGAAACAACTGAACCGACAATAACCCTGAAACGACGATCCCGCATTTCTAAGTCCCACCCCAATGGCTCAGACTTTACCCTGCAGGAGTCGTCCACGGTCAAACGTCGGCCCAAGAGTCGCGACAAGGAACCAGAGGGCTACACAGAGCTGGCCACCACTAATGGTGAACCTGTGAGTGCCGGGCCGCCCAACACCATGCAGCCCAACACCATGCAGCCCGTCCCATACCAGAACGGCACGGCCACCGTGAAACGTCGCCCAGTGTCTGAAGTTGGAGTGACAGAACAGCCACAACCCCAACATCAGCCCCAAGTGGCTGCCTCTGCCCGCAGGGACAGTTTGGACCAAGGAGCTCCAGCTGCAAGTGATGGAGGTCCTGTGAGAAAACCAAAACCTCCGGTCTCCCCAAAGCCTGTGGTGTCACAGATAAAGAGACAGGGAAGCTGCCAGACACCGCCACAGGCTGTTCCCAATAAGAGAATCCCGCTACCAGGCCCTGGGACACCTGGGAGTCCAGGTACAGTGTATTATTGATAAGGGGTTGGCTGTGTAGCCTCAAAATTATATATTTCTCAAGAAAATTTGCAGTAATGATGTTTATAAACAATGTAGAAAAAAACATGTTATTGGGGACTGCCTAAAAAGACAGCCATCTATTATCCACCTGAAAAGGGTCATGCTCTTCTTTCAACTTTAATGTGGCCCAAACCGCAATATGTCCCTCCACAAATGTTATAACAAAACAACCAGCTCGGCACCGTGATGTGTGCCATTACTTTTACTGGTGATCCGAGTTACCTTGGCGACATCATTTGCAAACAAAGATTCCATTTTTCTCATTGAAATAATCTATAAATCAGCCAATTTTTGAGATATTAAACTAAAATTTGGTGTGGTGGTAGCTGAGAGTAATGCTCCATAAATACTGAATTCAGATAAAAAAATTCAAGATGGCCACCAATTCTAAATTTAAATGGCTTTAACTCAGCTATTTTTACACATACACAGCTGAAATTTGGTGAGGTTTTATATAGCCGAGAATGTGCCCCATCCCATACTGAATCCAAATCAAAAATCCAAGATGGCCACCATATTTTAAAAGAAAAAAAATACTATAAGTCATTGATTTTTTTTTTTTTTTTTTGCCACATTGAGCTAAAATTTGGTGTAGTGGTAGCTGAGAACGAACCCCAACACATAGTACTGTCAAATCAACATTTTAAAATGGCCGCCACATGGCAGTCCCCCAAAGTTTCTTCAGGAACTTTCTTGTCTGTGATTGCTGTTTTCATTTCTTAGTGACAAATAAAGGGGATTTTTGATCTTTTATATTCTATGAGCTATTTGTACATGACAGGAGGTAATTTCAGACCAATCAGTTCTAAGGACTCTTGGGCCTTGGGCTTTTATACCATTGGGAAAACGCTATGATTGTACAAAACTCAGCTGATGGTGGACACATTCTCCTGATGTTCACTAACACCAAGAACAGACTTCATAGTTGGAGCTCTCGGTTGTGAGTGTTTTGTTTAACTCTTAAAGCAGCTCTACAGACATTGAGAAGAAACGGGTCTAGGGGCAGTCTTATTATGCGGCACATGTTCAAAGACTAGTTCATAGGAGGCAACAGTGAGGGTTAAGTTGCTTCTTCTTTAGCAAAGGTAGGTTCAGTCCAAGTGCTGGAAACTCAAATAACTTGTTCGGCTTAACATACATTTGTTTATACACCAGTCACATGACCTTACGTGGTTCAGAAGTTCCTGTTGAGGTAAGAAAGATTTCACTCTGAAGCTGGAGCAAAAAAAACTATTTGATAAATTAAGTTGTAAGGACTAGAATGTCCATCAGATCTCTAGAGCAAAACAAACAAAGGTGAACTACCTCGAATAGTTTTAAAGACTGTGAAGAGACTGGTCCAGCCGTCTGACCTAGAGAGAATTTGTTGATCCACGGGACCTCGTACTTCAGCGACAGAGACAACAATAGGTTGTTTTAGAGCTCAGCCTGAATCAAAAATGGCCATATTTACCAAAATGGCTGTAACTCCCCCTCTTATATAAAGACGATCATAGCTTTAAAGTCTGGCGATGAAAGGTGACGGGTGATTTGCGTTAGTCTTTAGATAGTTTACTATTTTGGTTTTTATGTGTTGATTTGAAACAAAAGCAATGCTCACAGTAAACTTTGGTTTTATTTTTTGTTCCTTTCTCGTTCTCTTCAGTGGAAGGAAAGAAGATTCCTCCGCCAGTCTCACCTAAACCAGCTCCTCCGCCCACAGCACCCAAACCGGCCAAGCTTATCCACTCCATGACCAGCCCCTCCTCCCCGACATCGGCTTCTGCCCCGGTCAAGCAGCACACAGCAGTAGCCCGACAGACCAGTTCACCCATCTCCTTCCTTCCCTCCAACACGCCCAACTCTCCAAACGCCAAGGCGATAAGTCCGTCCTCCCAAAGCCCTAACACTCCACAAACCCCCACTACGCCGCAGACACCCCAGACTCCTGCCACTCCCAGTCCAACTCTGCCACCCGTCAAGCCACCACGCTCATCCATTGGGGGCGTGTCAGTGGACAGTGGGATTATAGGGGGCGGGGTCACACCGCAGGCCTCTCCGGCAGCAGATGTTAATGTGAATTCTTTGGTGCATCAGAAGTTGGAAGAGACGAGCGCGTCGCTGGCTGCTGCTCTGCAGGCCGTCGAGGATAAGATCCTACGACAGGAAGAGTAAGAAACACACACACACATACACACACACATACACACAGACATTAATATATCCATACATACAGATTACAAGTCTCTGCACAAAATCAGTTACAGTCAACACGCCACAGGTGTCGCGTTAATTATATGTGAAGGAGACGTGTCCCCCTCACATTTAAAATATAGTCGTTTGGACCCCCCACACTTACTATGAAATGCTGGTTCACCCAGTGCTGTTCCTATTGCTACATGAACAAATCCATTCCACTTTATAAATTATAGAATACTGAAACCACTAAAAGTCCACTCCAGGTTTTCCTGGTTACCTACAACAACTCTCCACACAGCCTGCAGTGTTTCCTCAAGGTCACATGACTAGTCGGGGTGCTCATGTTTTCGGTATTCTTTGTCGATTAGGCGGTAGTGCCGAGTTTTTTTTCCAAAACTTTATTTATAACAGTTCACAATACAAAGTTCAAGACAAAGTTCAAAACAATAATCAAAACTTAACACATAGCAAAAACTTGGTAATAAACAGAATAAGAAACAGATTCATTAGTAAAAATACTTTGGTTTATACAGTAGTCCATCACTACTTGGTGGTTCGTTTTTCGCGGATTCGCTATATTGCAGTTTTTCAAAGTAAAATTGGACATGACACAATTGGCTGATTGATGGATGAGCCATGGATTGTTTATTTAAAATAAATTATTTTAAATGGTTTGGCACCGTGTGTAGCCCACAGGTGCAAGGGGAAGCTCCCTCCTGCAGCTGATCAGCTGATCTCTTTCTCTGCCACGTACACATTTCTCCTGCAGGTTAACCCTTTGCTGTCCAGATGCACCGATCAAATTTTGTCTTCCATCTTAAAATTCAAAGTATGTAACGTCGTAAAATCGTCATAATCACAAAATATAAGTGTTAAAAGTTATTTTTAATTATTTTAGAACTTCTATGTTCAGTTGTTTCAGAGTAATTGATCAAAAAGTACATTTCTTCTAAGTGCTGATGTGAAGGGTTAACGCTTTGATGTCCTGCTACACTTCTCTTCTGTAAAATTTAAATTTAAATACTGTAACATTTTAAATAAACAATCCATGTTACATAGATTGTTTATTTATAATGATTGTTTATTTAAAATGATAAGCTTCTTGCTGCAGCTGATCAGCTGTTCACCGTGTATAGAGGAGAATTGTGCATGGCCAAGAGCACTTGCAGGTGGCAAAGAGCAGAGGAGGCAGGGAGCTAAAATCATGACATTCTGTGC